TGAACCAGTGGATGGAAGACCTCTCTGTCTGTAACTCTGGCTAGAAAGGAAGGAAGGGAGGGAGGGAGGGAGGGAGGAGGAAGGAGGGAGGGAGGGAGGGAAAGAGAGAGAGAAGAGAGAGGAAGGAAGGAAGGGAGCTAGGGAGGGAGGGAGGGAGGGAGGGAGGAAGAAAACAGAACAACAGAGAACAAGTGATGTGTGCAGACGACTCGGCTCTCGGTCATCAAAATAGGGGTGTGCAAGGGGGTGATTCATGAACTGGGGACGGAAATGTTCCTGTTCATTTCGCTGACAATGTTCACATGGCACTGACCACGTGCCAGGCACTGTGGCCAGCACTTTACAGATTCCACGTCACTCAACCCTCACAAGCGCCCGAGGGGGAAGTGAGGCACGGAGAGGTCACTCATGGGCCCAGGGCGACACAGCTGGCCGGTGACAGTCGTCACAGCCAAGACCGAAAGCTGTCAGGAAGATGTCCCACATGCCAGGGAACTTCAAAAAGTTCATGGGAAACAGAATTAAAAAATGAATTTATTTTTGGTGCAAAAAAAAAAAAAAGGAAAGCCGTGCATTTGAGGGGTCTTTAAAAGGCCTGTGGACACTGCGTGTTCTGCAGTGACTAGACAGGGGTTTCAACTGCAGAGTGCACAGGTAAGGAGGGAGCCCCAGCAGGCCCGGCCTGGCTCCCCGCAAGGAGAGATTCTATAACCACCCCTCTCCCCAGCACGGGGTGGGCCCGGAGGCTGTCGAGTGGAGCCTCAAATAACCACACCAAACAAGGGCTGGGAAGGGGCCAGCTTTGCTGCGGCCCATAAGGTTCTGCTCAGGACACCCACATCCCACATTCTAGTGCCTGCGTTCAAGCCCTGACTCCACTCCCTATTCCGGCTTCCTGCTAACGTGCTCCCTGGGAGGCAGCAGTGATGGCTCAAGAACTTGGGTCCCTGCCACCCACGTGGGAGACCCAGATTGAGTTCCAGGCACATGGCTTTAGCTTGGCCTGGCTCCGACTCTTGAAGGCATTTGCGGAGTCAGCCAATGGATGGGAGACTTCTGTCTGTCTGTTTCTGTCTCTCTCTTTCAAATAAATCATATAAACTTTAAATTGAAGAACCAAAAAAAAGAACTGAGAATCCTGAACTTGGGCTGGAGGCCCAGGCCCGCTGTGGGCTGGGCACAAGCCTTTCTCTTATGACCCCCGGCGGGCTGGGCAGCTGCTCCCTTCCACACCTGTGTGACCTCAGCTGGGGCTGGTGGTGATTGACAGACAGAATGGCAGGGCGTGCTCAGTCCAGAGAAGCCACAAGCAGCAAAAAGCATGAACACGTGGCCCTCACTCCACGTGCCGGGCCCTCATGCCCCCGGACAGAAGTCAGGTCTCCTTATTCAGTGCTCAAAGCCGCCATCCGATGCCTGGGATCCAGGTCCGTGGAGCTGTGGGAGGCCAGGGCTTTTCTGCTACAAGACACACACATGGGCCCCGCGTGGATCATGGAGAGGGCCTGTGTGCGGCACTCCTGGGGCCTCTGCAAAGCCCCTCTGGCTGAAGATAAAGGAGTCTGGACGCAGGAACTGAGATCCATCCTTCTCGTAGTCTGGGGGCGAGGGCAGCCCGAGAGTCTCCTGCTGAGCTGGGTGCCCCTCGCCATCCCCACATGGCACGCACTTCCCACGCGCCGTGCCGCAGACCCCTGGCATGGCTGGTGCAGGCTCAGCCAGCTCCTGCATGCACCTTTCTCTACAGAGTGTCTTTCAAGGGGCTTGGACCAAAGGCTCCGACGCTGAAACTGATCTAGACTCCTGAGATCCAAGGGGAAGAAGTTTAGGTTCTTGCTGGCTGGGAGCGACCTGGGGTTTTATCTGTGTCGAGCTCCAGTGTCTGAATTCAGCTTGCTCCAGAAATAACAGCCTCTACCCCACCCCTGTGCGTGGGAAGAGATCTGGAACAGCGTGTCTCTGACTGCAAGGTGCATGCCACTCAGCTGGGGCCCCTGCCACGCCGACTGCCGCTGGGGCAGGGTGAGCACTGGGACTCGGCTTTTCCAACACGCTTCCGGGTGGTGGTGTTGACGCTGTCTGTTCCAGGACACCGCTGGAGCAGGAGGAGCGAGGGGCCCTGTGTCTTCAGAGGCTCCGCAGGGGAAGAAGTGCAGGGTGGAGGCAGGCTGGGCACCTCACGGCAGGAGCGGCCGGCTTTCTCCCACCACCCTGTCTGAGGGCATCACAGAACATGCTTGTTGCCTGGGTGGATGGATGGACAGGCGGGTGACTGCTTGCTGATATGCACATCAAATGCACAATCAGAAACAGCTAGCAATTAATACAGAGCCCTGTAAGTTATGTATCTAGGTGAAAATGTCCCAGGGGGAAAAAAACGAAGGAAAAAGAAGGACAGAGGGAGGCGGGGGAGTGGTGGCAGATGACAAAGATTCCCCGAGGTCCCCTGGAGTTTTCCTTTTATCTCAACTGGAACATCTTTTAACGGCTGGGTCCTCTCTCCCCTGGCAGTCTATGAGGTACGTACATACAGCTGGCACAAGAATGGGCTCTAACAGTCGCTCAGTGAACACACGGCCTGTGAGATGCACAGGGATAACAGCTTCACTCACCGAGTGTCTTTTAGGCAGCAGACACATCACATGGATTATCTTGTTCAGTGTTCATAACAACCTTATGAGGTCAGTACTATTAAATGAGGTCAGTACTCTGTAGACGAGGAAGGCAGGGTTCAGGAGGACTAACTGAAACACCCAGTCATGCAGCTAATTGGGGGTTGAGACGAGGGCACAAGGCCCCAGGCTGTTGGAGCCCATGCTCTTGACCAAAGGTGACCCAGGTTGTGTGAGGACTAAAGTTCAGACGTTCTACAGTGCTCTTTCAGGAAAGGAATGCCAAAAAAAACTTACAAAAAAATACAACTGCATGAATACACAAGGGTTCTTCAAGAAGTTCTTGGGAAAATGATATTAAAAGTTTATTTTGGTGCAAAACATTTATGAGATGCATGCACAGATTTTTCATAATACATATGGGCTGGTTAAGGGCCTCGAGTTGCTGGGAGCCTCCCCAGAGCCTCGGGAGGGGTTGTGCCAGGGAGGGGCTTTGAAGCTGCCTCTGACCTGGACACACAGAAGAACGCAGGCCAAGGGAAGGGAGAAGGTGGAGGAGACATTGCTGGGGAAAGAGAGAGAGAAAAGGAAGGAAAAGCGGAAGGGAGCTGCGAGAGACCTGAGGCAGCCGCCCAGTGATGCAGTTTCACACCTGGCACCTGCGAGCCACAGGCCACCTCCCCGCGGTGGCGGGTGTCACAGCGGCCCTGCCCAGACCTGCCCACAAGCCTCCTTCTCAGCCCCCCCCCCCCCCGCCAGGGTCCAAAAACCAACCTGGGGACTGGGGGCCAGAGTTTAAGCCCAGAGGGGTGGAGTCACCACCGGGCCCCCCCACCCCCCCCCGCAGCCGTGCCCAGCAGCCTTCCGGCCCAGGCAGCTGCCTCCTGCCTGGCTCACCTGAGCACCAGGGGAGGCAATGCAAACCCCTGGAACCAAAGCAAGGGCAGGCCTGCTCCAGGGTGGCCCACTCGCCTCTTCCCACCCCACCTCCCTTTCAGGGAGGGCCCTGCCTGGATCTTCACAGCCTGGCGCCTGAAACCACCTGTTCTCAGGTCCCAGGCTCTTGACTCTTGCCTGAAACAAAGGCCGCTACTCTAAAGTGGGTAGAGGCTTGGGGCCGTGTCGGCTCAAGAGGCCCTTGGAGGTCAGCCTCAAGTCCCTACTGTTCGCATGCCCAAGGCCATGTGGCTCACTGAGATCTGATCACCAGGGCCATCCCAGACCACATACCCAGGGCTTTCAGACATTGCTCACATGGCTGGTGGCAGGAGGTGACCCCAGTGCCGCCCCAGCTCTGCCAAACACTGCTTCATCTCCACGGGCTATGGGGAAAGTACTCCTCACGGGGTTGTGGTGAGAATAAAGAGTGATGGCCAGAACCATGTGCCCCACGGAGGGGCTCCTGGGAGGGGCGCAGCTGGGAGGGGCGAGGATTTGTTCAGAAGCTCACGTTCATTAGCTGCCCTCCATAGAACACGAGAAGGTACCCAAGTCCTTTCCAACTCTTTGGGCCCTGGTTCCAAGGGCCCCGCACACGCCGCAGCCAGGGAGTCAGAAGTGACCCCCTGGGAGAGAGGAGGCCTGGGCCCTCGCTGCAGCACCACGGGGATCTTCACGGAGGTTAAGCCTGAGACTCTCGGGCAGGATGCTGGCTGTGGTCCTCTGCCTGTTAGCCCTGCACTGACAGTTCCACTCCTGGGAAAGAGAGCATAGCTCACCTCCTCCTCCTCCTCCCCCTGTTCCTCCTCCTCCTCCCCCTTCTAGATTTATTGGAAAAGTAGAGTTACAGAGAGAGAGAGAGAGAGAGAGAGAGAGAGAGGAGAGAGATGAGATCTTCCATCTTGTTGGTCCACTCCCCAAACAGCCACCATGGAAGGGGACCAGACCAGACCAAAGCCTGAAACTCCATCGAGGTCTCTCACATGGGTGGCAGGGACCCAAATGCTCCAGCCATCTTCCTCTGCCTTTCCAGGCATTAGGAGCAGGGGCAGAAGCAGAGCACCTGGGACTTGAACCCATGCTCTGATATGGGATGCCTGGGTTGCAGGCAGAGGCTTAACCCGCTGTGCCACACGCCGGCGCCAATCCCATCTTCTTAAGGGAAGAAGCTGCCTTCTCTGTGCACTTCCCAGGCTTGCTGCTCCGCGTGTGGCAGGCATCCCCTCCTACTCAGCAGAAAATTCCCTCACCCCAGCCCCTGGGCCCCTCCACTTTGCACACAGCTCCAAACCAAAGCACCCACACAGACAGAAGTCGAGAGAGGAGAGAGGGAGAGAACTCAGCTCTGACATCACCCTCAGCCAACACCCAGTTGGGTGGAAGCCATTCAGGCGGGAAGGCTTTTATGACATCTCAGGTGTGTCACCTGTTCTGAGGCCGAAGGGCTCCAAGAGCTGGTGAATGACTCCAGGTGTGGGTCCTGCCCCTAAGACGGGTGTCGGGTTACAAGACGCATAATCATTCCAGTTTGGCAACTTCACCTGTGGGGTTGATTTCATCGACCTGCCTTGCAGTCCCCAAATCACTCCTAGAATACAGCGGTGGGAGGTGGCCGGCTTGGCTGGCAAGGGGGACAGGGATGCTGGCCGTGAGGGACCAAGGCCTGCCCTGCACTTGGGCCTCCTCCAGCCGGTGCTGACCGGGATTTCTGACCTGCCGGCCCTGGTCCTGAACCCCTCCTCCCACCCTGGGTCACAGATCTGGGCTCCAGGCTGCAGAGGACATTGCAAGATCACAAGATCGCACAGTCAGCATGGTGAGTGTGGGGGCCTTGGCTCCCAAGACTGGGGGGTGGGGAGTGGGGGTGGGAGGGTCCCCCCATACAGAGCTCCTCAAGCAGTCCAAGAGGCCATCAGCTGAGATTCTGTAACACCTTGCAGGTTCAAAAAAGGGGTCACAAGCAAATCACCCCCATATCCTGCCCTTTACATGCCCTGTGCCCACCTGCCCTCCTCTCTCCCGCCACTGGCAGTGGCCTCCTTGGACCCGTGCATCAAGGGAGCAGCGGCCCGAGGCCAGGGCTGACCTTTCTCACCGTTCCCTGCCTGCTAGCTGCTCTCTGGCCCAGTGCCTAGCAGTCTGGCTGGAGACTGGCACTGTTCCGTCAAGGGCAGGGGACTCTTTGCACTTCCCAGTGGCCCTCTGCCTCCCCCGGGAAACTGACTCCTTTGCTTTGTAAAGGAAATGGTGCAGAGATGCTTCAACACAACCCCGGTGTCTGTGGCAACCACTTGGTCTCTTCCCTCCTCGGAGCACCCAGGGCATCTCCACTGCCTTAGGGCCAGGAGAACCCCACCCCCACCCCGGGCCACGGAGGATAACAGGGCCAGCGGGGAACAGGCAGCAGCTGGGTCCGAGGTAGGCCCCACCCTCTCTCCCATCCTCGGCCAGGATGCAGCACCCAAGTGAAAGGGGAGGGGAGGCGAAGCGAGGGGAGCGGCCGCCCCGCTGCAGGGCCGCTGGGTGACCAGGTGAGCGTCTCCCGACTCCCAGCCCCAGTGCTTCCCTTCACTCTTAGCACAGGCTGGCAAAGCGCTGGCTCCAGGGCAGGGGGGCAGGAAGCAGAGGGGCTTTGCCTGATTTACCTGGGCAGGGAGCCAGGACCAAAGCCCCAGCTTCCTGCTTCCCCGTCCAAGGTGGCACCGGGAAACAGCCTGTGTGCAGGGCAGCTGCGTCCCCGGGTTCTGGGCAGGTGAGGGGCTGCTGCGGGCTCTCTGAGCACACTGGGGCGCCGCCTGGAGAGTGGCGGAGACAGGAGGAGCCTCCAGGGCACATCACCTGAGCCCTAACTGCAGAATCGAAAGGGCAGGAGGCCAGCTCCCGCCTTAGTTGGGCACTTGAGGCATTTGTCCCTGGACACGCATGGACTCCCTCTGCAAAATGGGCAGAATAAGGCCCACGGCACTGCAGGCGCGCACACAGGGTTGGTGGGGAGGCTGAGAGGGCAGGAGTGGTGCTGTGAACCAGGAAGCCCTGCACACAAGGCAGCCCCTCTGGGAAACTGTGGCTGCGCAGGCCACCCTGAGCCTCTGCGCTCCAGGAAGGGAGGGTGGGTGGTGGCCCATGGGCTGCAGGGCTCAGGACTGGGGTTCCAGGGTGCGATGGAGGAGGCTTCTGGTGCCTGAACTATCATAAATCAGCTGTGCCCACTGACCCTGTGAGTTCCCTCGCACGAGCCCAGGACCACCACAGCTCCCAGCCCCGAGAGAGGACTGCCATCTTGCGCCCAGGCTCCACCCTCCCTGGGCCTCCTCTCCCAGCCTCTCCAACACTCACAGGCCCCTCCTGGGCACAGCAGGGCAGAGTGTTGTTAACAAGGCTTCTTCCCGGCACCATTCAGCTGGGAGTGCTGGAGCTGGGGACACAGCCAGGACAGAGAGCAGAGTTCCATCTGTCCCGGTAGGGAAGGTGTCCCGGAGGGCTCCTCTGTAGCCAAGGCCTGGGCAGAAGTCAGACATCCTGTAACTGACCATCCTAGCCTTGACCTCTTCCCACCCCCGAGGCTACAAACACTCCTCAAGCCACAGCACAGGGGCATTAGTTAGCACCTGGTCTATCCAACCCTTCCAGCTGCTCTGCAGGGAGCTTCCTAAGGCCCCTCCTTTCCTTGGCAGCCTGGTGCAGACCCAGAGGGCTGGCTGGGCTGCGCTGGGGCTCAGGAGTGAGGCAGAGGCAGCCAGGATCGGGAGCAGGTGCAGGGCCCTCCGCAGACTGAGCCCTGCTGGTGTCATCCTGGGTCAGGGGACAGACTGAAAGTCATGCAGAGGCAAGACCCTAGTGGGCAAGAGAGCAAAGAGCGGCCGCTCTCCTGCCTGCTCTGCCAGGACCCTCCCTGCCTGGCTGAGGGGACCTCATGTCGCTGTGGCCCTCAAAAGAAGCTGCAGCCACCCAGGTACCTGACTCTGGCCAGCCTCTAAGTGAAAGGAGGGCCCAGCCTGGAGGCACTGAGAAAGGAGAGTGTGACAAGGACAATGGGGAGGGGTCACAGCTACCCTTGGAGCAGAGGGGAGTCTCTCATGTGCTTGGGAAGTTGTCCCAGAAGAGAAAGCGTTTGCATGGGTTCTTGCAGGTTGAGCTGACTTGCTCCAGGCAGAGGGAACTGCATGCAGACAGCATGACAGCGTGGCAGTGTGGGGACAAAGGCCCAGGGCACACAGGTGTCACAGGCTGAGGTCCGGTCCCCCATGGAGCTCAGGTTCAGGGTCCGCACCTCACCCTGGAGGTCAGTGCAGCCCAGATGGGGAACTTGGTGCAGCCACCCTTCCCCCACCCCTGAGGCAGTTCAGCTCCACTCATCCATTCCACGCGAGGGCAGTGGGCCTCACACGTGCCGGGCACTGGACATGTGATTGCTGGGGAGAGAAAGACCTGGCTCCTGCTCTCGCAGAGCTCAGAGGCTAGAGGGCTGCAGGGTCAGGGTAGACATTCACCAGATGACCCCACAGACTCGTGGTGGCCCACAACAGAGGCCATGCTACGGCACAGCAGGACCCGGGCCTGAGGGCTGTATAAGAGCTCCCTGTAGGAGCGAAGGAGAAGCAGCACACACCCCTACCCCTGGGTTCTTCCTTCCTGGCCTGTGCCTGGTGCGGCCTGGAGAAGGGCCTCCTGCGTGTCCCAGACCCCTCTCCTCCCCTTCAGCACACCCGCAGCAGAGCCCTGCACTCGCCAGCCTAGCCCCTGGGGATGCCTAAGAGATCTGGGGCACTGAACATGGCAAGCGAGGAGAGACCAATCCAGGGAGGGAGATGAGAAGAAAAACAGACCTAAACCAGGGCTCAGGGACCCAGACAGCAGCTCCCCAGAGCCCCGGGAGCAGCCCAGGACAGCAGGCAGCAAGACTGACCTCAAGCTGAAGACCTTCAAGTTTCTCAAGCACCTGTTGCACCCTCCGCCCTCCTCCTGCTCAGATAAAAACGTCAGCCCCTGTAAAACACTCCAGGTTCCCAAGCAGTGGTTCCCCAAGGCAGTGGACTCCCCGGCGTGGAAGGTGCAGGGTGCCTCTGTGTTAATTAAACCTGCTGCCATCTGACAGTGAGCTTCTTGGCAACAGGGCAGATGGCGTCTCTGTGGTTCAGCCCAGAGCCTGGATGGAGCAGGCCCTTGGTAAAACCTGTGAATGCTCCCATCACTGGATGGCAGATAAGTGATCAGAGCCTGAATCCCCTTCAACCAGCTTCTGATCTCTCTGACACTGGAAACGAAGTTCAGGTTCAACTGGAAACAGACCAGACTAGACCAGCGGTGTAACCAGAGTGTCTGGGGGTGAGGAGGGACAGGCCCCAGCCTGCCCGGACACCCAAGTAGGAGGGAAGAGGTGGGGAGGGCAGAGCCCGGGCAGCAATCCCCGGGAATGTGTTCAGCTCCACGTCCCCACCTGCCACTCCTGTCAACTTTCCCGATTACGAGAAATTTTCAAACAAGGCTCAAAACCACAACCCCTGCCCCTTGCACCCGGAACATCCATCGTCCAGCTTTCTCATATAATCTACACGCAACCGGAAACCTTCCTCAGGCGGCAGACTAAAGGAACACTCACGGAAGAGGTGACAGAATGAGCCGGCACCTGTCCAGGGCGGCCGCGTGTCTTCCGTCACAAAATCTCTCGCACATCGGACTGGCTGGGCTCTGCCGCTGGCATGCTTTAGGCACTCCCTGCTGTCTCAGTTGCTTCCTCTATCATACTCATTTGTTCATTCATTCACTCACTCCTGTGTTGCCTGAGCCTCTACTACGTGCTGGGTACTAGCAAGACGCCGTTGGGAGATTCAGAGAAGAATGTGCAGAATCTAGGCCCTCCGATCCGGGTACTGCCCGGGTGGGGCAGGAGCAGGCTAAGCCGCTGCCCCTTCCATGGGCAGAGCAGGCACGCATCCACCCGATGATGCCAGACACTGGCTGGGGACACCACCTGGGAGTGCATGGCCAGTGCCCAGGGAGGACCTCCCCTGACAACAAGGAGCCCCTGGAAGGGTTAGAGAGCACGAGCCACAGTGGTGGTGTCTCATCTTCAGCCTAAGCAGCGAGTGCCGCATTGCTGGGGAAGCTCCGCCCCAACCTGACACAGGGTGTTCTCCAGTCAAGGTGCAGACAGGTTAGTGACTTCACAAAGGCCCCTCTCCGGAGCTCCTGCCAACCCTCCAAGAGGTGGACCCCAACCACCAGCACCTGCAGAAGCAGGGCGCCCCGCTTCCCTCCTGGAGGCCCGTGGCTCCTACCCAAGTATGCAGGGGGTGAAGACTGTGGCACAGCTGTTTGTGCCAGGAGACCCATCTGCCGCTAACTACCAAAGCTCACAGAGGGGAAAGCTGCGCCAGGTCAAAGGAAAACTGATGGGCAGAACCATCTCAGGTGTAATGACCTCAAGAGCTCTGCGCCTCACACCCAATGCTGCTCAGGGGAGAAGCCCAAGTCAGCTCGAGACGGTGGAGGACAGACAAGTGACTTAAAGAGAGAAAATTATGAACGGACCGGGCCTGGGGCCGGCCGGGAGCAGACGTGAAGTCCCAGAAGAGCTCTTCAGGATCACAGACCCCGAAGAGAGACCCTCCGAGGCCTGCGAGGGGCGTGGCTCCCCCACTCTGCCCCCCTACCATCTGCTGTAGAAGCCAAGCCTAGAAAAGACCAGAGATGCCTGTTGGCAAGGCCTGCGGCCCCGCCCACTTCTGCCCGGTCTCTCTCCCCTGGCAGGCCCTGGCTCCCCCACCCCCACCCCTCAGAATCCCCCCAGGAGCCCTTGCTGGCTCTGCCCCCTGT